ACAGACAGAGTCAGAAACAGACAGACAGAGAGTCTGAAAGACAGAGTCAGAAACAGACAGAGTCAGAAACAGACAGACAGAGAGTCAGAAACAGACAGACAGAGTCTGAAACAGAGTCAGAAACAGACAGACAAAGAGTCTGAAACAGACAGACAGTCTGAAAGACAGAGTCAGAAACAGACAGAGTCAGAAACAGACAGACAGAGTCTGAAACAGACAGACAGTCTGAAAGACAGAGTCAGAAACAGACAGAGTCAGAAACAGACAGACAGAGAATCTGAAACAGATAGACAGAGAGTCAGAAACAGACAGACAGAGAGTCTGAAACAGAGTCAGAAACAGACAGACAAAGAGTCTGAAACAGACAGACAGTCTGAAAGACAGAGTCAGAAACAGACAGAGTCAGAAACAGACAGACAGAGTCTGAAACAGACAGACAGTCTGAAAGACAGAGTCAGAAACAGACAGAGTCAGAAACAGACAGACAGAGAATCTGAAACAGATAGACAGAGAGTCAGAAACAGACAGACAGAGAGTCTGAAACAGAGTCAGAAACAGACAGACAAAGAGTCTGAAACAGACAGACAGTGTGAAAGACAGAGTCAGAAACAGACAGAGTCAGAAACGGACAGACAGAGTCTGAAACAGACAGACAGTCTGAAAGACAGAGTCAGAAACAGACAGAGTCAGAAACAGACAGACAGAGAGTCAGAAACAGACAGACAGAGAGTCTGAAACAGACAGTCAGAAACAGACAGAGAGTCAGAAACAGACAGACAGAGTCAGAAACAGACAGACAGAGAGTCAGAAACAGACAGACAGAGAGTCAGAAACAGACAGAGGTGTCTCACCACTCCTTTCTCCACGACCTCTTTAAACTTGGATCGAGTCATTTTCAGCTCCTGGAGACAAAATAAAAAACACAGCTTAATTATCAGGTTAACGAGGTCAAAGCGTTTAATGTGATTGGACGACAGTCAAACAAAAGGACTCACAAATGGAGGGACGGCCTCGGTCTCATTGATGGCAGCTTTCATCATGGCCACCACATGTTCGTTGGTGATCACTTCCTGTTGGTCAGAATGTTTTAGTTAACTCGTCAGGTGTGTTGTGACTGGTTGAACTCAGGTGTGACTGGGTGAACTCAGGTGTGACTGGGTGAACTCAGGTGTGACTGGATGAACTCAGGTGTGACTGGGTGAACTCAGGTGTGACTGGATAAACTCAGGTGTGACTGGATGAACTCAGGTGTGACTGGGTGAACTCAGGTGTGACTGGATGAACTCAGGTGTGACTGGGTGAACTCAGGTGTGACTGGATGAACTCAGGTGTGACTGGGTGAACTCAGGTGTGACTGGATGAACTCACGTGGATGATGTTGCGGACATTGACCGTGGTCAAGTTGTGCTGTTTGGACTTGGTCTCCAGTGACTGGTCAAGCTGCCTGTCGATCTCCACCTCTACCTCCGCCTCTTCATCCTCCTCCTCCTCGCTCTCTGAGGCTCTGCCCCTCTCCTCCTCTTCCTCCTCTGTCAGCTTCTTCTTCCTCTTCCTCATTGCCCTCCTCCTCGCTGCCTTCCCCTCCACGTGACTGTCGTCTGACACACAGATGAGAGGATTATTTTCATCAACATGACGTTACCACAATGTGACACTTTTTACGTTACCACAGCAACACGCCTACTGTCACTGTGTGTGTGTGTGTGTGTGTGTGTTACCCATGGTGATGATGAGGCTGGAGTCGGTGGTGTCTTCCTCCACAAGCAGGTACCCCTCCTCTTCCTCCTCCTGAGCGCCGCCCCCTGCAGGAGGAAACGGCAGCAGCAAAGCATCATGGGAGCTGAGCTGAGGACTGGAGTGTGGCGGTCTGATGCTCCGGGCAGTGGCTGCGGCGGCGGGGGGTTGGGATTTGGACGGGGTGAGTTTGAAGCGTTTGCGGGTGGAGCTCATTCTGGAGAAACATGACCTCTGAAACAGTGACATCATTGCATGTCATTAACATGATAAGCCAATCAAGTTTATCCATTAGTGAGGTCACACTGTGAACATTTGTGCCATATTTTAAAGAAATTCCCACCTGGCGTTCTTCTGATACCACATTCATGAGAATGCCAGGGATGCAAGGTCACAGTGACCTCTGACCTTTGACCTCCAAATTCAAATCACATCGTCGTTGACTCAAAGTGAATGTTTGTGCCTAAATCTAAGAAATCCTGTCATGGTGTTAACATATCCTGTTTATGAGAATGGAATGGATGCAAGGTCACAGTGATCTCTGACCTTTAATCACCTTATTCTAACCAGATCATTCTTGGGTCAAATGGACGTTGGATTTTAAGGAAATTTTCTCAAGGCATACTTGTGATATCACGTTCATTAGAACGCTGTAGAATGCATGGCAGTTAGCCTCTGCCTGTCAGCAGTTAGCTCCTGTCTGTTAGAGTTAGCTTCTGTCTATTAGCAGCCAGTTTCTGTCTCTTGGCAGTTAGCTTCTGTCTCTTAGCAGTTTGCTTCTGTCTCTTAACAGTTAGCTTCTGTCTTTCAACAGTTAGCTTCTGTCTTTAAGAGATAGCTTCTATCTCTTAGCAATTAGCTTCTATCTCTTAGCAGTTAGCTTCTGTCTCTTAACAGTTAGCTTCTGTCTTTCAGCAGTTAGCTTCTGTCTTTAAGAGACAGCTTCTATTTCTTAGCAGTAAGCTTCTATCTCTTAGCAGTTAGCTTCTGTATATCAGCAGATAATTTCTGTCTGTTAGAGTTAGCTTCTATCTCTCAGCAGTTAGCTTCTATCTCTTAGCAGTTAGCTTCTGTCTCTCAGCAGTTAGCTTCTATCTCTTAGCGGTTAGCTTCTGTCTATTAGAGTTAGCGTCTATCTCTTAGCAGTTAGCGTCTATCTCCCAGCAGTTAGCTTCTGTCTCTCAGCAGTTAGCGTCTATCTCTTAGCAGTTAGCTTCTGTCTCTCAGCAGTTAGCTTCTATCTCTTAGCAGTTAGCTTCTGTCTCTCAGCAGTTAGCGTCTATCTCCCAGCAGTTAGCTTCTGTCTCTCAGCAGTTAGCGTCTATCTCTTAGCAGTTAGTGTCTATCTCTTAGCAGTTAGCGTCTATCTCGTAGCAGTTAGCTTCTGTCTGTTAGAGTTAGCGTCTATCTCTTAGCAGTTAGCTTCTGTCTCTCAGCAGTTAGCGTCTATCTCCCAGCAGTTAGCGTCTATCTCTTAGCAGTTAGCTTCTATCTCTTAACAGTTAGCTTCTATCTCTCAGCAGTTAGCGTCTATCTCCTAGCAGTTAGCTTCTGTCTATTAGAGTTAGCGTCTATCTCTTAGCAGTTAGCGTCTATCTCCTAGCAGTTAGCTTCTGTCTATTAGAGTTAGCGTCTATCTCTTAGCAGTTAGCGTCTATCTCTTAGCAGTTAGCTTCTATCTCTCAGCAGTTAGCGTCTATCTCTTAGCAGTTAGCTTCTATCTCTCAGCAGTTAGCGTCTATCTCCTAGCAGTTAGCTTCTGTCTATTAGAGTTAGCGTCTATCTCTTAGCAGTTAGCGTCTATCTACTAGCAGTTAGCTTCTGTCTATTAGAGTTAGCGTCTATCTCTTAGCAGTTAGCGTCTATCTCTTAGCAGTTAGCTTCTGTCTCTCAGCAGTTAGCGTCTATCTCTTAGCAGTTAGCTTCTATCTCTCAGCAGTTAGCGTCTATCTCCTAGCAGTTAGCTTCTGTCTATTAGAGTTAGCGTCTATCTCTTAGCAGTTAGCGTCTATCTACTAGCAGTTAGCTTCTGTCTATTAGAGTTAGCGTCTATCTCTTAGCAGTTAGCGTCTATCTCTTAGCAGTTAGCTTCTGTCTATTAGAGTTAGCGTCTATCTCTTAGCAGTTAGCTTCTGTCTCTTAACAGTTAGCTCCTCACCGTCAGCTCAGACCGGAGTTACCGTGTGTTCAGTCCAGTAAACGGTATCAGGCTGCTGCTGTCTGCTCTCCTCCAGCTAGCATGCTAACAACTCTCTGTCTGCCGGTAGCATGACAACAGACGGACTACAGCCCGAGCCGATGTCCCAGTGAGCCGGTCCGGCCTCTCACTCTCTGGTCCAACAGTCACACTGCCGGCCCGGTACCGGTGGTTTTAGTGTAACGGTTTAACGGCAAAACTCTTGGCGGAGACACACTTACCCGCCACAACTATGAGATGCTTCTGAGTAAAACTACATATCCGGCTGTGCGTCATTGCGTCACTTTAACGTTAACGACTTCTTCTATTTCACGCTAAATATTCCCCAGAATATTTAATAAAAAAGACAGAAATTTAGTAAATTACTCTGGCAAAAACATTTTATTCACAAATGTAGCTTAAAAAATAAATAAAACATATTAAAGGCCCTTTGTCTGTATGAATATCTGTGGACCTTCAATCATTTGTGACGTCATGGCTACTTCAGAGTGTACGTTTTGAAGTTGTTCAGTTACCACGGAAACTGGTCTTTAAAAGAGTTTTATTGAAACATTAAGTTATAAAATGTACAAATAAAGAGACCATGTGACATTAAAGAGGGCGTGTCCTCCTGGTGGCGGGACTCAGAGCCTTCAGGGCGGCTGCAGGTCTCTTCAGCTCCTTAATCACCTGCAGACCGAGCGCTCTGATGGGCCGCGAACGCACCGGGGACCTGCCGGGATGTGCAGGAGGAGGAGGGGGGTCCGCCAGGTCCTGGGGGTCAGTGTCAGTGACCATCACCATCACCGGGTTGTTCCGGTGAAACAGCGACTCCCGCCGGCGGGTGCATGGGCTCGTTGCCAGGACAGCGCGGAAGCCGTAGGGCGTGGTCACCTTCCTGACATGCGGCAGTGACATGGCTGCACGCGTAGTCAGGTCTGTGTCTGCGTCCTCTGCAGACGCAGTGGAGATGGCATGGCGGGGAGATCTGACCCGTGGCAGGCGGAGCAGGAAGCGGGGTGACGCCACAGGGCTGAGTGGGGGCTCAGCTCCTGGACTGTCGTCATCCTGGTCAGACAGCAGTCCGGTCCGGTCCGGGGATGTCCGCTGGAGCCGTGGGGAGAGGAAGAGGAGCGGACTGCGGGAGGGGATGAGGAAGGTCGGGGTCTGCTGAGGAGTCAGAACCAGAGACCGCAGAGATGAGCTGGATTTAAATGCTGACATGATGAAGACGAGGAGGAGCTGTAAGAAAACAGACAGGTTCATCTGTTGGGGACCGCTGTTTTCTTTACAAAGTGCAGGGGAAAAAAAATTGCTAAAAGTTTTTAAAGAACTAAAACTTTATGGAAAAAAATCTTTAAAGAAATAAGTCTTCTTAAAAAAATGACCAAAAATTTTTCAATTAAAAAAAAAGCCAATTCTTAAAAAGAAGTTTGTTTTTTTAATTACTAAACAAAAAGCAAACAAAAAAACACGAGACATGTTTTCTTAAAAAATAAATGTAATTTTTCATAAAAACATATAATAAACAAACCCAAAAGCTTTTAAAGGAAAAATGCCATGTCTGATCAGTGGAGTCTTCTTACCTGTGGGTATCTCACCTGGTCTGCAGCAGTGTGTTTCAGGTCTGAGGGTTTATGTGAGCTGCTGCAGCAGGTGGAGCCAATCAGAGTGATCAGTGACCTGCAGCCAATCAGAGTGTCCCCAGGTGTGTGTCATTAACCCTCAGCAGACTGAGGTGGTTACAGGTCCTGTGATCAATTCAACACTCTAATGTTGTTGGACAATTTTAAACACGTGTCAGGAGAAGTTTATCAGAAAGAAGGACTCAGTTCTTCGTGAAACTCAGAAGGATCCTTGACATTGAAAGTCCTTTGGCGGGTTGATGACAGAGCGTCCTTCAAATTAGACCGTTTGAGGATTCTTCCTTTAATCTGACAAACACACATTCATTCATTCACCAGACTTCAACATGAATATTAACATGTTCTTCACATCTGCATCAGAAATCTGAACATTAACTTGTTAGCATAACCTCAGTTAACATGCTAACCTGCTAATATTCTAGTCTGTCAGCCTTAATGAAAACTAAGTGTCCCCAAACTGTCCTCCATGTGTCCCCACCTGTCCTCCATGTGTCCCTCTGTCTCTCCTCCATATATATTTTATTACAAAGATCAGAGGACCGAGGACGTGTCCCTGAGGGACTCCATGTGTCTACTTGGATTTCTCTGTTTCAACCCCCCCCACACACACACACTGATGGACAAGCCCCGCCCCCCACAGTGATGGACAGGTGACACCATGAAACATTATGAACTGATTTTACTGCAGCGAGACAAACAGGAAGTGGCTGCTAAAAACAGCAGGAAGTCCAAAATCCCCACAACCCCCCCCCCCCCCCCCCCCCCCCCCCGACATAAAGCGAACAGGAAGTACAACAAACAACCACACTCGTCATCAACATCATCAACATCATCATCATCATCATCATCATCGTGTATTAAAATCAGTCACTGTTCCAGAGTTCGTGGTGCATCATGGGAGAGTAACCACACCGTGACATGTGACCCTGAGCTCAGTCAGTCCTCATCTCCATGGAAACAGCAACAGTCCGTTCATCACATGGATTTCAAAGTCTGTGGCGCCTCAGAGCCCCGCCCCTCCCATGGCAGCAGTCAGTGTGTGTAATCGGAAGGGGGCGGGGCCTCTTCCAGTGTCAGAGCGGCTGGTTGGCTGACGGTCCCTGTGGCGTAGCTGGCATGTGATTGGTCAGAGGGTTCCGTCAGTCGCTGTCGGAGCCGACCGCTGACGAGCCTTTCCTCTTCCTCTTCGGCGCTTTGGGCTTCGAGTCCTCCTCCTCCTGAAAGACACAAGACATCCTGTTACCATGGACACAACATGACGACATGTAATGTCATACCTCCTTACTTCTTGTCTGTTGTCTCAACTATCAGCAATAGTAGCAGGCGCCATCTACCAGAGGACCCAGATTGCAGTGGGGGATTGAACCTGTGGGGCAGAGCCTACGTACCGAGGCGCTGCTGGAAGCACTCTCCTCCTCGTTGTTGGTGGGCGGAGCCGCTCCCTTCCTGGAGCGTGGTGAGGAAGCCGGAGCCTTACGGCGAGACTTGGGAGGCTTCGACTGAGAGTCCTCGTACTCCTCCGCCAGGGCGAACAGGTCGCTGAACCTGCAGGAGGAGAAAGTGATGTCAACAGCACCTGGTGTGATGTCATTCTCCAGTGTGTGTGTGTGTGTGTGTGTGTGTGTGTGTGTATGTGTGTGTGCATACCTCATCTTGTGTGCTTCGTCACAGCTCGCCTGTACGTGCTGCAGTGCCTGAAGGATCGGGGTCTGAGTGAAGACTGACAGAGACAACCAATCAGCTGTCAATAATCATTTGTTTGTTTGTGTGTGTGTGTGTGTGTGTGTGTGTGTGTGTGTGTGTGTGTGTGTGTGTGTGTCCTCACAGTTGTTCTTGGTGTTGCTCAGACTCAGTCTCAGGTTGTCCATGTGCTCCAGGATCTGTTCCAGGGTCAGCTGAGCCAGTTTACTGCTGGAGCTGCGGAGACTGGGGACAGACACAGGTCAGTCCACCTCCATGTGTCCTCCCTCCGCCCCATCCCCACCTCTGTCTCTTGTGTCCCCCATGTGTCCCCTGTCCCCACCTCTGTCTCTTGCGGGGCTGGTTGTTGTTCTTGATCAGCTGGGCCTTGATGTGTTCTCCCAGCGTGTCGTCGTACTTGGACGCCCAGTGTCTCAGGATGCTGGTGGTGAACTGGTCCTCGGGATGACAGGGACGACTCAAGACCATCTTCACCATCTCCTCACTGGGCCTGGGGACACACAGAGGGACAGAGACGTTATCTGGGACAGAGAGACGCCTGAGGACACATCCTGAGTGTGTGCTGGTGTGTCGTACTTCTCTCTGCGGAGCTGCAGCAGCAGACAGGACAAGGCCTCTGGATGTTCTGCAGGGGGACAGGACAGAGTGAGGACAACAGAACGGAGGACAGCAGACGTCTCCTGGATCATGTGACGTGGCTCACCTTTGTATTTGAGGTGCTGCAGGATGGGGATGATGGTTTCCAGAGGAATACTGTGAGCCAGGAACAGCTGCCAGGTGCTGTACTGCTCAAAAGTCTCCCAGTCCAGGGACTGAACTGTGGACACACAAGACAAGGAGACATGAGGACAGAGTGTCCACTGCTATCCAAACACTGTGTCAGTGTGTGTGTGTGTCTCACTGAGGATGTTGAGGACCGAGTCTTTCCTGAACATCACCAGGTTCCCCATCATCACGTGACACATCAGCTCCTGCAGCTGGAGACAGAGGGACAGACAGAGGGACAGAGGGACAGAGATTACATCCTGGTCAGTGAACAGGTGAGTCAGGTGAGTCTGGTGGTCAGTTACCTGTGTGGAGTCGATGACAGCGACGATCATGTTGAGCAGCTCACCGCTTCTTAACGTCTCGTCTGGAAACTGAAAATAAACAAAACAAATATCTTTAATATAAACAAAGTGACCACAGTGAGAGCTGCGTCACATACTTGGTGTAAAGTCAAACACGTATTCTGTGGGTGTGGCCTCCGCCAAGGTCGTCCCTTGTCACCGATCCTGTTTGTGATATTAATGGACAGGATCTCAAGGTGCAGCCGGGGGAGGAAGGGGTCCAGTTTGGGGACCTCAGAGTTGCATCTCTGCTTTTTGCAGATGATGTGGTTCTGTTGGCTTCATCACACCGTGACCTCCAGCATGACCTGGGGCGGTCGGGATGACAGTCAGCACCTCCAAATCTGAGGTCATGGTTTTCTGCCAGAAACCAGTGAATTGTTCCCTCTGGGTTGGGAGAGAGTTACTGCCCCAAGAGAAGGAATTCACGAGTCTTGTTCACAGTGAGGGTAGAATGGAGCGTGACATGAATCAGCGGGTCGGTGCGGCTTCTGCAGTGATGCAGGCGCTGCACTAGACCGTCGTGGTTCAGAGGGAGCTGAACCAGAAGGCAAAGCTTTGATTTCCTGGTCCATCTCCGTCCCAACCCTCACCTATGGTCATGAGCTCTGGGTAGTGACTGAAAGAATGAGGTCACAGATACAAGCGTCTGAAATGAGTTTCCTCTGTAGGGTGTCTGGGCTCAGACTTAGAGATAGGGGGAGGAGTCAGACATCTGGAGGGAGCTCGGAGTAGAGCCGCTGCTCCTTCATGTTGAGGTGGTTCAACATCTGATCAGGATCCTCCTAGACTCACAAGTCAGTCTTTAGACTGATGACTTTCTCCCTGATTTTCTGTTTAGATGGGCGGATACAATTTCAGAGTTTAAAAAACTCCCTACGTTGCAGAATCAATAGTAAATCTGCAGGACGGTCCTTCGGTGGCTCGCTGAACTCTTGTGCTCATAAACATAGTCCCACTAGAAACATGTGTAGCGGTACAAAATGGCTCAGCCATGCTCGCAGAAAACTCAGTCAAAGTTAGTGGATGTTTGTCGCGTTTGCGGCGACACATTCTCGCCAACTAAAAGAAACAAACATAATCTTTTACAAGGCCATGACTCATCCGTCCGGCCGGACTATAGAGGGAATCGCCTTGTTGTTTACAAATACTTCTGGGTAAAAAACCAGCAAATGTGATATATAGGCTATATATATATATATATATATATATATATATATAGCCTATATATCACATTTTTTACATCACTGTATCACCATTTGGACTAATCTGATGTTTGTAAAGTCTATAAACACAATGATTGAACAAACATTACTATTTCTTAGCCATTAGCAGTGTCTGTAATAGGTAATAACTCATTAAACGGTCCGTGAAAAAAATTTTTTTTCCAGCGGATATCTTAGTTACAACATGATTAAGCTAGCAAAGCAGTTTTGTGTTGCTATGTGTGGTATTTATTCAGTTTTGGGAAATCACGATGTCTAGAAAGCATCAGTGGCTGCAGCTGACAGGGACAGCTAACAGCAGCAGCAAAGCTAACATCAGGACGTCATCTGTTAAAAGCCTCCCGTTGTAGGATACGACATGAAACTACTCCAGTTAGCTCAATCATGTTGTAACTAAGACATCAGCTGGAAAAAATATTTTCTTTACGTATGAGCACACGTTTGATAAAACGGAGTTAAATCTCTCTGCATCCATTTTCAAGCTCTCTGTGTGTTTGTTTCCTTGCGGACGAGAAAAGGGGGAGCGCACATTTCCAAGAAGGCGTGTCCTTTTCAAAAATGCAAGAGGCGTTGCTTTGTTGCTGGCCGTTTTCACCGGTGTGTTAAACACACTTTAGAAAGGAGTGTCCCCAGACTATCAGAAGGCGGAGATCTCTGATTGTCTGGTGGTGAGGCTAGGATCCTCCTGGTCCAGCTGGTAGGAGGCCCCGGGGCAGACCCAGAACACACTGGAGGGATTATAGATCTCATCTGGTCTAGGAACACCTCGGGGTCCTCCAGGAGGAGCTGGAGAGTGTTGATGAGGAGAGGGACGTCTGGAGGACTTTGCTCAATCTGCTGCCCCCGAGACCTGAACTCGGGTAAGTGGATGAAACTGGATGGATGTATAAACAACAAACAAACAACCGAAGACACGCCCCCTGACCTCGACACACGGGGTGACCTTGACACGTGACGGCAGGGTGTGTGTGTGTGTGTGTGTGTACCTCAGAGTAGATGGAGGGAGTGAGGTAGCAGAGCAGCCGGACGTCGTCCTCCTGGCACGCCTTCATGTCCATCATCAGACAGGTGTGCAGGTCGCCGAGCGCCGTCGCCTGAGCGAAGGACTCGTACAGCATCATCTTCCCGTTCGCCGCTTTACTGCACACACACACACACACACACACACACACGTTAACACTCCTCCTCTCATGCCGTTGGACGTCATGTCTGGGAGACAGCAGGTGTGTTGGCGCCCTCACCTGGCTTTGAGGTAGTACAGCAGGTGATATCCGATCTTGGGCTGTTTCTGGTAGAACTCTGCCAACATGTCGAGCAGCACTGAGAAGCCGCTGTTGTCCTCCTGCATGGTGACCAGGTTCCTGAAGACCAGGCAGACCGGTTTGGACACCGACTCCTCCAGGGACCTGAGGGACAGACAGAAGGACAGATGATGGTGGATCCTGTTTCTGGGGTCTCTAATCAATAAGCTTATTGATCAGTTGCTCTTACTCCTCAGTGATCTCTTCCGGCAGCACATCTCCTCTGAAGTGATCTTTAAACAGCTCCGCCAGACAGGACGCCAGAGCAGACATCTGCTCCGTGTCAAAGTCCTCCTGCAACACAACATGCTAACATTAGCTTAACTAGGTAGGCTATGCTAACGAGTCAATGTGCCAATAGAGTAAAATGTTTGCGAGTTAGCTTGCTAATTAGATAGGCTATGCTAACAAGTCAATATGCCAATAAGCTAGAATGTTAGCAAGTTAGCTTGGTAGTTTCCAAGCTAACTCGCTAATATTCTAGTGTATTGGTTACTTGTTAGCATAGAGTTCAGTCAAACCCAGTAGAGTCCAGTAGAGACCGAACAGGGGACACTCACCTCCAGGATCAGGTCCACGATCTCCTGCATGACCTCACACTGAGTCTCGGTGTCACTGAGGAGACATTTTGTTTCACAGATTAATGATGAGTTACTGTGATCTGAGGACCTGAAGGTGGACTGTGGGGTCTCACCTGGTCTTCTGCAGCTGCTGGACTTTCTCCTTCATGGTGTCGTCTAATTGGTCGAGCCAGGGTGTGATGTCAGCGGGTTCCTCAACCACAGCCTCTTTGATTGGATGGAACCTGAACTCCCTCTTCTTTCCTGCACAGTGATTGGTCAGTGACAGCACCATGACTTTCACATCTGAAATTTAAAGCAAGTTTAAACCGGTCGCATCTCCTCTCACCTTTGTTGTTGACCTCCTCCTCGTCGTCGCTGAAGGCGGCCTCTGTGTTGTCATAGCAACCCTCCTCCTTGTCCAACACATGGTTGTCCAACTCCAAGGAAACAACCTCCTCCATTTTGACTGCAGGACACACACACATACACATACACACACACACACACACAGGTCACATTTACTTGTTAGAATAGCCTATGTAGTTAGCAAGTTAACTCACTAACATTCTATGCTATTGGCATGTTTTGTTAACTCGGAGAGACACAGATAGGAAGTCAGACAGGAAGTGTGAGGGTCCAAAGGACAGAGGGATGTCGTATGCTGTAAAGCCCTGTGAGGCAAATTGTGATTTGTGATATTGGGCTTTATAAATAAAATTGACTGAAGTCAGGCAGGAAGTCAGACCGGTCACAGACATACTGATGGTTACCTTCAGTCGGGGGCGAAGGTGCGCTGCAGAACTCAGGGAAACGCTCTCGGAGCATCGATCGCAGCTCTCGGTCCAATTTTGGGTTATCAAAGAGTGGAGCGAGGTGACTGACAGACAGGAAGGACAGGAGACGATCAATTATCAGTCACAGACAGAGGGGAGAGAGGACAGAGAGGATATGGAGTGTGTGTGTGTGTGTGTGTGTGTGTGTGTGTGTACATACGCCAGCACTCTCTTCTCCATGATGAAGGTCAGCGAGTTGAAGACGCCCTGACGGACCTGAGACTCCAATGGAGGGAAGAAGTGAGGGATGATCTGAGGAGGAAAGGAGACAAGGGATGATGGAAGGCAATGACCCACAGGTGTGTGTCTCAGGTGTGTGTGAGGTGTGTGTGAGGTGTGTGTGTTACCCGGCACATGAAGTCCAGCAGCGTGGCAGTGATGGCGGGATGAGGCTTCATGGAGTGATGCATCACTAAGATGGCTGGCTCTGAGACACAAACACAACATAGTGTTTAGTGTTGGTTATTATGGGATGGTTTAAGGCCTCACAAGTACACTAACAAGTGTGTGTGTGTGTGTGTGTGTGTCAGTCAGTCACCTATGTTCATGATGCTGTCTTTCTCCGGGTTGAAGAACAGCCAATCATAGAAGAGCGCCAGCTTGGCGTTGGAGGCGGCAACGTTCGACTGGAGACACACAAAAACAGTGATTGATTGATTGATTATTGATTTTTGAGCTTCAGATTGACAGCCTGAGGCCCCGCCCCTTACCGTGCAGGTGGTGAGCAACCAGCCAATGATGGCCCAGCGCGGCAGGATGTCAGAGCTCAGCACCTCATTGGACGGATGGACCACACCACAGATGTAACGAATCAGATCGCAGCGCAGTGATTGGCTCTCTGCTGTGGACAAGTACTGTCTCTGGAACCAGTCCTGATACCGCTTCTGCTGCCCGAAACGTACCTGAGCACAGGTAAGATACAGTCAGGGGTCACCTGAGCACAGGTAAGTTACACTCAGAGAGATCACCTGAGCACAGGTAAGATACAGTCAGAGGTCACCTGAGCACAGGTAAGTTACACTCAGAGAGATCACCTGAGCACAGGTAAGATACAGTCAGGGGTCACCTGAGCACAGGTAAGTTACACTCAGAGAGGTCACCTGAGCACAGGTAAGATACAGTCAGAGGTCACCTGAGCACAGGTAACATACAGTCAGAGGTCACCTGAGCACATGTAAGATACAGTCAGGGGTCACCTGAGCACAGGTATGATACAGTCAGGGGTCACCTGAGCACAGGTATGATACAGTCAGAGGTCACCTGAGCACAGGTAAGATACAGTCAGAGGTCACCTGAGCACAGGTAAGTTACACTCAGAGAGATCACCTGAGCACAGGTAAGATACAGTCAGGGGTCACCTGAGCACAGGTAAGTTACACTCAGAGAGGTCACCTGAGCACAGGTAAGATACAGTCAGAGG